TGAACATTCTTTTAGGAAATTCCAATTCTTAGAGGTCCTGCCGGAGGATAAAATGAGGAGCAATTACACTGACCTCTTGACTTGATAGACTGTCTGCCAATATCTTCTTTCTGATATGACTGGCGACAAGGAGATTTTGTACGCGTGGGTGCGTCGTCGCAGGGTCGCTGGCCTCTGCCAGCAGCCTACAGCCCTCGCTTACCACACATATCGGCGTGGCTGCCGCACTCCAGTGCTCTGATCGACAGAGTTCTGCAAAGGAGAGGGAAAAGGAGTACAGTGGAGTGAAAATTGCTCACCTACTCTGATAAACTAAGTGTGCAACTGCAAGTTGAATACTTGATGATAACTCCGTAGTTGTACACTTTCAAGTGTTCAACTCTCGCAGACCCCGGGAGTATGTTTTTATTTTGTCCGGGTACCTAGAGGCCTAATGGCACTAAACCATAAATACTTTTTAAAGGTGAGGACTTATTATCACATTTGTTTTGCAAGTATACTTGTTGTCGCTGGACGAGATAGACTTGGTCGCGAGGCCTTGCACGAGTTGGTCCAAGAGCACCGACACTATATGGGGCACCCCGTCGCGATCAGCCCCCTCCCTCTCCTACTGACCGCCCTAGCAACACGCCGGCGTCGCTCGCGTGAAGCGGACCTCATGGCGAAGGCACGCGTGCGCTCGACAGCGGGCCACCAAGTCCGACTAATTCCTTGGTAAAGGATCTCTCTCCCTCTATGCCTCCTCTTGGCCATTGTAAAGCCAAATATATAAATAAATAATTCTGCAGGAAGCTTTTGGGACTGTTGCCGCCCTGGATGAGTACACTGCTTTCAACAGCTGTGGCGGTTCTGACTGGGGGCATGGCACTTCTCACTCGTCACTCAATGATGTTGACACAGCTGGGGTTACGCTTGCAATAAAATGACCAAAATTTAGCCTCACAAGATCAGTTCGTTCACGGCCGAGGACGATCCCCATAGTGGTACGTGGGTGGCACCGCAAAAACAAAAGTAGACAGTGCTGATAATACAGGGTGGTCCCCAGACCCCCTCCTTCATTTTGCTTGTACTGCACCGGATGCAGGCGTGCGAGCGGGTTGCATATCCGTACGGGGCCATGAGCAGGCGCCCTGTTGAGCAAAGGTTAGGCAAGTCCGCCCGCACGCCTGCATTCGGTACAGTATAATCAAAATAAAGAAAGGGGCCTGTGGACGACACTGCAGAAATGATAATACTAATGGATAAGTTTTCCTAGCGCAGGACGTGGTTGGAGGTTATGGCGATCAGGATGGCGGCAACCCTCATTCTTCTCTGCACAGCGCTCCTAAGCGGTGAGTTTGTGTTCCTCTTTTCAACAACACCTCTCCAGCTTCACGTTTTACACTGATAAATAAAGTGTTTAACGCTGCAACACTTTGAAGTATTTAAAGGCATTGAAGTGCACACATCGCATTTAAACTTACGCATAAGTCAGAGTAAAAATAATTAAAAATATAATAGGATTATTTCCAACATTTGAGCAGTTGGTGGAGAGAGCCTTGTTGAGGAAATCACAGCCCCAGTCGTCGGAGATGCGATCGATGGGGTGGCTGACAATATCGCGGATGGTGTGGTCGATGTAGCAACGAACATCACCAGTGCGGTAACTGATGGCTTTAAGGAGGTTAAGCTGGTCCTGATCGCGTACGTAACCAAACGAAAGAGACGGAGACGGAAAAGATCGAGCTGTCCAACAGTGAAAATTGTGTTAACATGGCGTTTGCATTCTACAGGTCCGACAAGAACGCGACGTTCGACCTCGAAAAAGCGACGAGTGTTCTTAGCGACACTGCTTTCAACAGCGCCCTACCGACCGTCGTATACATGCACGGCTATTCGGAGAACAGGGACAGCGAGAGCGTGCAGGTCATGTCCGACGGTAAGGGTGGCGGTAGCACTGCCATATGGGGGTGAGGGAGGGACAGGAGCTGCGGTAGGATAGCCTATTTAAAGGGGTACAGGCGCCATGAGCGCGATATAGAGGCAAGTGGGCGGTCTGTAGGCGGCTCGTGAGGCTTGCGACACTTGGGCAAGCCCGCCGAACGCGGCTGCACTAGGGTTGCCTTTTTCGCGGTCTGCAGGAGGCTTGTGAGGGATACATAGGCAAGCCCGCCGAACACGGATGTGCCAGAGTTGCCCACCCCGCAGACTGCAGGCGGCTTTTGAGGGATACATAGGCACGCCCGCTGAACACGGCTGCGCTTAGGTTGCCTACCCCGCGGTCTGCAGGCGGCTTTGGGGGATACATAGGCAAGCCCGCTGAACACGGCTGCTTTATTGTTGCCTGCCCTGCGGTCTGCAGGCGGCTTTCCGGTCCTCCGAACACAGCTGCGCTACGATACGGTTGCTCACCCCGCGGTCTGAAGGCGGCTTATGGGCGACAGATAGACAAGCCCGCCAGTCACGGATTTCCCAACTCACGGTCTGTGGGCATATTTTCGTTTGGGATATGGCTTACCTTGTTGAACACGTCTGCGCTGGGGTTGTCTATTAACCCCCAGCAGTGTGCAGCTGCTCTCAGTCGTCCTTACTGACCCTTTTCACCTCCTCCTACAGCTTTCCTCCGTAAGGGATCCCACAACTTCGTCTTCGTCGATTGGAGCTTGTACGCCTCGCCTCCTTACGTCAGCGCCTTCCTCCACCTGCCCGGAGTAAGAATATTTCTGCTCCTTCCTCCATACCTCTCGGTCAGTGTTTAAGTCCCTAACCCTGTTGCTGGGCACAGGTCAGCGCGGTGGTGGGGGACACCGTGAACGACCTCGTGCAGGCAGGGCTCTCGAGGGACGGCCTGTGGCTCATCGGTCACTCCATGGGTGGCCAGATGGCCGCTATCGTGTCTCGAAATCTGGACTTCAAGCCCAAGAGGATCTCGGGTAAGACGGAGCGGCCATCACTAGCGGCTCAGCAATGGAGAGAGAGAGAGAGAGAGAGAGAGAGAGAGAGAGAGAGAGAGAGAGAGAGAGAGAGAGACGCTACCACATCGCTCACCCTGAAGCTTGTGCTTCGTCCCCCTTGCACTTGCACTACACTGGAAGTAAGCGCACTGAACTGGCACCTTAATTGATAGCGCTGTTGTGTTTCTGGTGTTATCCCGTAGCCCTGGATCCCGCCCTTCCCGGCTACCAGATCCCTAACTTTCCCAATCTGACCCGCGACGACGCGGTCCTCGTCGACGTCATCCACACGGATGCGGGCGTGTACGGCTACAACAAGCCCTGTGGCCACGTGGACTTCTTTCCCAACAGCGGTCGCCGCTTGCAGCCGGGCTGCCCTCGCCTGCCCTTGTTGGATGATAAAGATTTCTGCAGCCACCACCGGTCCTGGGAGTTCTTTGCAGAGTCCGTCGCCAACGAGATAGCATTCCCAGCCGTCAAATGCTCGTCCTGGGATGACTTCGAGGATGGAAGCTGCCCCGTCAATGGCACCAACATAGCGTACCTTGGGTACAAACTTCCGACTCAGTAAGTACAGAGCACAAACAACCCAGACAGCCTCTCAAGTTTCAATGTGAGATCTCGTGAAACGCAGGACAATACTACCCCATTCCCTTCCAGAGTGGAGGAGGGCGACTATTACCTCAGAACCAACGACGCGTCGCCCTTCGCCCAGGGTTTGAAAGGCGTTACAGTCGAGGTCGAGGAGACCAACGGCATTGCCGAATTTTTGGGTGGAATCGCCAGCAAGACGCAGAGCTTTTTCGTTCGCGTCTTTCCCATATTCTAGTAACGAAACAGACCAAGGAAAGCCACAGCAATAAAAACGTGCAGGCAGAGATTGAAAGCCTAGTTTTATTTCTTAAGTATAATAACAAAACTGTTGACAGTCTTTTATTAATTAACATCTAATTTACAATAGACTCTGATGCGGCCGTGGGAGCGCCGCGCCCTACGCTAAGGTCACCCTTTACAACAATAAACTCTACCAGAAGGATTTACAATCGATGCTGAAAATAGAAAAGCCATTATATGAGGATTAGTATTATTTATCCATATAAAGGGTAGAGAGTAGTGTTACAGAGTGACAGAGACGTTATCTCGCTCAACTACAAAACGATTTGTGCCAGATGCGGTCAGAACGGGGAGCGTCCGAAAAAAAAAAAAATTCTGAACACGACATATCTCTCTTTTGATTATTAACCAATTTGTGAATCATCAAGTGAAGAGCCTCGATACAGAAGTAGATTTCCTTTCTTCATCGTTTTAATAGGGTCGATGCAATAGAGACAAGTTGACGGCGAGGCCGTAACCGCTGCTCCCTGAAATTTTACCCCTAGCAGATTTAGTTGAGACTCTTCACTTTTTAGTGCTTCAATTTTCAGTCAACTGCGATGAGACAAATCAAAGTAAAAACATACGCATGTGCAAAGACTGGTGATAAATACACTGTCAGCACATTAGTCCCAAGATATTCCAAATATATTCTTAATCTTTCAACCAATTCTTTCGGCGAACTCTGCTGGGCGATGCGTTGTGGCACGTACGGTGCAACGAACAGCAGAGCCTCCTAAAGACGTGTCAGTAGATTCGTAACAAGTCTACAAAAATAAACGAAATCAACAGCCTAACAAGTTATAGCCCTCATCTCTAGAAAAAAGCTACTGTACACAATATCACAGCCTGCCTCTCAACCCGGCGCAGGGCGCCTGTATTACAAACTTCGCTGAGAACTGCTACGCTTGTGACAGGTGGCTGACACAGCCAAATTAAACAACGAACACCCCAAAATTAATAGCCACAATCATCTCCTAACGAACAAGTAAATAAATTCATGAGTTCTTAATGAGAAATAACGCCCAGGAAAGTCTTTGACAAAAGTAGAAGAAGGGGTTCATTTGTATTTGGGCGTTGCAGTTTTCCGCGAAAAATTTCCACAAGGTAAAGAGGTCAAGCATTCATCATTAACAAGATAGAATAACGATAGATGTCGCCACCCACTCAACATGCAAGTCGCGGACACAAAGAGTGTCGTATGCTTGGCAGTAGATAGTCAGCTCGGCCCTTATTGCTTGGTTGGTAGACCTGTGGTGCATGAGTCTTAGGCCTTCTAAAACACACGCTCACCCACCGTGTCAGCATGTACTAACAAACTAAACTGACTGTTGAAGGAGACCCGTTGCACCATCATAAAATTGAATCAATTTTTTTCTTCTTTGAATTCATTATTACAGTTATCGTTTTGAGCATCTAATTTAAAGCTACGAAATGTACACAATACCTAAGAATTGCACTTGTTTCACTAGCAAATGTTCATTTCAGAAGAATACTGCAGATTGTCCGTATCTTCTGTATGTAGACATATATTGTATGGTTCCAACGGTTCCGTCTGGAAGTGAAATCATGTTAAGTTCACAAACAAAATGCGGTTACAAACGCAGCGCTTCCATACTATATTGACTGCTGAACAGACTTCAAAGAGGAAGGCAGTCACATAAAAATGAATAGATTCCTCGATAACGAAGGAATAGTTTTGTGAATAGAGTTCCCCAAAACGGGTAAGTAAACATAATGTCACATCTAAAATAAAAAGTTCAACTGAAGAGTAACGTGCAGAAACTCACTGGAACAGCATTCTCACCGGAGCACCGTAAGACTAGTAACTTGATTTGCTTACCGATGTAAAGATTCTTCAGTCTCTAGTCACTCAATTAGTAAAATCTTACATTGGCAGTACAGTGTCTTTGGAATAATTGAAACGATACAATGCTAAGGAATCAAAGGAGCTCACGTCCTAAACCCTTCGTTAGCTGTCAGCATTAAAATATTTTACATATCAGTACAAAAGGCACATCGTTGTTCAAAAGTGAAATTATTGCTTTGAGTTTGTCTCCCGAGTATCACGTTCTGCTAAAGCTAAAAAGCAGCTCGGTAGCACCCCAAATTAATAAGACGAGACCGGGAGGGGAAGCAATCACCACCCGGCTCAACTTATGGCAACCAATTTGTACTCTAGTTCCAATCACAAGCACACTGCATGGCGACCTAAACTGTTAATCGTGAAAGGTCGTGCGGCGAACAAGCGTTTCTCGCGAGACACTCGACAATTGACAAAAAAATGTTCCCTCTCAATAATGTGTCAGTGTTGGAAACACTAAACAAGATAAATAGGAGAAAGATCTTAAAAATTATCACCACTCTAGACACACGCGCAAAGGCATCGCTGAGGCAATGCAAGAACTTTTGGCTCATTCCTTCTACAAGAAAGCAGGTGTTGACCATGCTACGTAGAAACTAATGTGTACAAAAACTTGAGAGTTTCTGAGTCGGTTCTAGCGAAGCGTGATCAAAGCCACTAAAGGCAACAAGAGGGTAGCTACTCTGCCGACGCGGGCCTAAAGCGTAAGTGGCTGAGCTGTGTGGACAACCCTCGTTGCAACACACGGCAACAGGCATAGTGTTGTTAGTTTTGCGAAGCAATTTTAGATAGTTCACAATTTGCACAGGATAACGTTCTTGAAGTTGTCAATAGGTGGATGCCGAGCAGTATTTCTTAGGTGCAGCACGGAGGTCATCCACGGCCTTCCAATGCAGGCGCAACACTCAGCCTTACGATATGTCTCTTAGGTTCGTTAAGAAACGGAATGAAAGCGCAAGAATAGGCACTACACCGCTATCACAGAGCGTAACAAACACAGCGGAAAATTCCTCCGGGTAAAAAATATATATATGTGTGTATATGTATATAAATTTTTCGATCTTTATACAAGTCTGACCAAGCAGAGACTAGTCAACAAGGAATACTCGTCTACATTATTAGTGACTAAAGTTAGCCTAAAAACGAAAACAGTTATTAGTACAAATATAATTGCTCAAGTTTATCTAAAAGTAGAAACCCGCTCGTGCGAAGAGGTCATCCACAAAATAGTATATACAAAATACTCTAGCAAAAGTCTACGTAAAAAAGGCCAACATGTTCGGAAAATAGGACAAGTTAAAAAAGCCAAGTCACGGCTTTAAGGTATTGCTTATAGTGAGGACTGAGCTCTCCATTCAATTCTCGTTAATTGTCTTTGTCTTTTTCTAAATCAGTGCTGAATGACTTGTGACTTCGGTGAGACATGCGCGGAAGAATTTCTGTACGCTTACTCGTTATTGCTCCTCAGACGAAATAATAAATAGAATCTTACCAATACCCTTCCAAAGAAACAAAAGAAAGAGAAAGAAAGATATAAACACAACAACACAGCAGTTAACAGCCAGATTTTGCACCGTGCCGCTTAAAGAAAGTTTAACATATATCACATGTTCGCTCTATAACAACGTAGCTCGCCCCCTCTGAGGGTGCTCGGCTCACGTGGAGGAGAGTGCCGGCGTGGGGGCCTGAACGACCCCAAGGGGGCTTGTGATTCTCCTACAGGTTAAGGAGAAGGGGATTAGGTTGGGGTGGGAGGGGGCTCAGGGGACCGTACCCTTTTACTCTTTTCGCCGCGGTCGACACAACAAGAAGTCGAGTCTGCGCTCGCTTACCTGGCCTCGCCCGCCCTGATGCCCATGTAGGCGGTGTCCGTGCTCTTGCACTCCCCCTTCGTGAACTTGGTCCAGTTGTCGCAGGGCACGGCCGGGAAGGCCGTCTCGTTTAACAGCGACTCGGCGAAAAAGTCCCACGAACGGTGATGGCTGCAGTGTCCTAAACACGGCGAGAAAAATGAAATTGAAAAATGAGAAAGAATATTTTTAAAATGTCGAAAAATTACTTTAAAAAACAAGTTGGCGCGGCGCACCGTCGTAGATTCCCACGACGTAGCTGGGGCAGCCTGGCTGCACGCGGGTGCCGTTGTTCGGGAAGAAGTCGATGTGCCCGATGCGCTGGTCGAAGCCGAAGAACCCGGAGTCCGTGTGGATGACGTCGACGAACTCGGCGTCCTTGGGGCCCAGGTTGGGGATGCCGTCGAAGGTGAAGCCGGGCAGCGCGGGGTCGAGGGCCGTGATGCGGGGCAGCTTGAAGTCGAGGTCCTTGGCCGTGACCCCGGCCAGCTGGCCCCCGAGCGAGTGCGCCACCACCCACAGGGACTCGCGCTTCAGACCGCTCTCCACCATGCGGGTGATGGACTTGGCCAGAGCGTGGCTCACCTGAAAGAGACGAAGAGCAGAGACGCTGATTAGTATTATTATAGTTTGTAGGAGTTTACTTGGGTAAGTAAATCCAGGGTTATCATGAGGTAATCTGGAGGTGATGGTGATCCGAGTCTAAAGAGCCATTCATTGTACCGGGTGTTTCAGAGTGGACAGTGCAGTGTAGCCCCCCCGCCCGTACGGCGGCATGGTCCCTGCGTACCAAGAGGGCATACAATCCCGCAACACTGAAGTGTCCGCTGTGATACACCTGGTACACTTGTTTTAGCCGTCGATCCCCCTGGACACGTTACTCGTTGTGGGTTATGAAAATAGAGAGTGCGACGCAATTTGTTACCTGGAAGAGGTTGAAGAACGCTTTCACGTAGGGGAACGTGACGTAGTGGTTCCAGTCGACGAGGATGAAGTTGTGGTCACCTCGTTTCAAAAACGCTGGAAAGAGATATATAAGGTGACATTACTGTGTCGATTCGATTTTCGAGATGTTATTACGAGGTCCTTGCCAAACTCACCGCTCGCCACCCGCCCCACGCTCCGGCTCTGATTGGACTCGGTGTATCCGTGCATGTAGAGTACGGTGGGCGAGGCCCTCTTGAACCCTGGATGCGAAAGGATGCTGACGGAGTCGTTGATGTTGAAGGTGACATTCTTGTCCCTCCTGTGAACGCGAGCATATGTGGTTCAGTTACGGGCATAAAACAATACCGTAGCATACTAATGTTTCTGTTAGTCGCACGCCCAGCGGTGCACTGGAATAGTGCGAGAGAGGTCGCTGCTTGCGAATTTTGTGAGTGAGCGAGAGAGACGTCTGGCCGCGATGGCCGTTTCTCACGCTAAACTAGTGGACTACTCACAGGTACAATGTGAGGTTGATGCTGTCCCCAAACTTCTCAGCCCAGTTGGCCGCGTCGACTGACAGCGAGCCTGCACATCAAAAAATAGTGTTTGACACGGCATTGCCGGGTGAAGCATGACAAGTCGTCGGGAGCAGGCGGGCTTGCCTCCTCGCAGACGCCGTGGTGCCATGGTGCCTTTACGGAAGGAGCGGGTAGGCAAAGCCAAAGCCCACAGCACCGACAGCACCGACGTCTTCTCTGTTAAACCTCAAAGCCCTAAAAGTGCCACTGAGCAAAATAGTCGTTACGTTAACAGGAAAATTTTCCTTGACTGAAGTTGTAAAATAACAATTTGTAATCGTGAAAATACATGCAGTACGTATCGACTTAAAATCCGCATGGCGAGTAAAAATGTGCTCTGGTAAATTTACAACTTAACTTATAATTTGAGTTTACAAAACTTTTGTAAATTTACGACGAAAATTTCCACAGGGTGAGCACCCGATCAAATCGTGGAGTGGAGGCACAAAAACTCTGCGTTTGTTGAAAAACAAACCATAAAACTTACAGTATGTGGCCCACAGGCAGAGGCCCGCCACGACGAGGCCAGAGCTCCAGTGCATGGCTGTTGTCTTGCTGCTCCGGCTGCTCTCCAGCGACTGGAGCGACTGGAGTCACTGGAGTCACTGGCGCTGGGGCGACCCACGATAAGCGGCACATCTTATCAGCATACAGAGAGGGAGAGAGAGAGAGAGGGGGGGGGGGGGACAAGGTGACCGGTGACCGCTCGTCCCGGATCCACTCGGGAACACTAACACCAACACTCACCACATCACACTCACAAAACAAACACTTCCAGCAGGGTTCAAGCCCCTCGTGTGGCGGGTCCACCCGGTCCACACGGTCCACCCAACTGCAACCCTCCGGGGGCGGCCGTACACCTCAAACTGGAACTGGAAGTGAACATTCTTTTAGGAAATTCCAATTCTTAGAGGTCCTGCCGGAGGATAAAATGAGGAGCAATTACACTGACCTCTTGACTTGATAGACTGTCT